AGAAAGCAGGGCCTTTGTCTGTCTTGACCACGTAGGTATTCTCTTTAGTGTCTGATACGGAGTTGGTGCAAAATAAATATTTGCTGAATAAGTAAATGGATGAACTAATGAATTGGGGCATGACTGGAGAATTGGACGTATGTGTGTGTTCTTGAATAGACAGGTGGTAAGTTATAAAACTTACAGAAGTTCAGTTTCTCTGGAAAGAGTTGGTATAATGGCAGAGAGGAAGAAGTGATGCTAGGAAAACCAGAGCCAAATCCCAGAGTTCTTGAATGTCGTGGGGTGGAGTGTCTGAAACCTCTTTTCTGGTCAATGGATGGCTACTGGTGATTTTTGCATAGTCAATGCGTGCTTTAGCAATCCCTTCTTTATTACTAGCTATGGAAAACCCTTTCTCTGTCAGAGGAGCCTCATTTACACACAGGTTCAAGAACAGTGTAACTTCTGAATGTCAGCAGGCTGTTGATTTAGTCAATGTTCATTTCTTTTTCCATGCAGCATGACTACCGCGTAGTCATGCTTCTGGGCTGGCAAGAGAACATGCTTGCCTTAGTTCTTTACAGCTTAAGAGGAAATGGCCCGAGCCTTCTTGCAGGCATTTTTACCAGTATTTCTGACATCTCAGTGGCCTCCTCTAAAAGTCAATACCATCTTCATGTCAGATTATTCCCCTTTCCTCCATTGTTCTTTATGTCACAATTTATTTTTCTAATGCATAGAGTTACCCCCATATCAGAGTTACTCGTTCCTGTGGTTTGTTATTAGGTCTTAAAGGAAGTCCAGTCCGAAGCCTTTAAATGTAGTGTGCTGTTGGTTTGTTTCATTGGAGGAGTGGGTAGGTCCTTCCTTAGCTGAAACCTAGTACTGACAAAGCCTTGTAATAACCTGCATACAATCATATGACATTATATGTAGCATGCACATGTTTATGTGGACTTTTCTTACCACTTTGGATGTGTGTATTTAATTTATAAAATGGAAGACAGAGATATCAAGCTTCCAGTTAAAACAGTGGTTTATTTTATAGACCCTGGCAGCAAATTCTAGTTTCCTAAACTGATTCACAATAGTTTAAAAGCCAGGGCCAGTTCCTGAAGTTTTATGGTTCAGCCTTAAGTCATGGAATCTTTTTTATAGATTGTAGTATCTTCAATTCTGGACTATAAAGGAGGAAAGCACCAAATAAGCAAAACGTCAAATTTGAGAAAAGGACCCAGTTTGTTGACATTGACTGTTTTCAAGAGCTACTGAATCACATTCATTGTGATAACCACATTGGAAGCTGTCAATATCAGTGATGATTTCAGAGAGGTTTTTATTAAATGTACAAACTTTTAGTATCTTATAGCAGGGGTCCCCAACCCCTGTGCCCTGGATCAGTACCAGTCCTATTAGGAACGGGGTTGCACAGCAGAACGTGAACCTTACCCCCCGAGCTCTGCTTCCTGTCAGAACAGTGGAGGTCTTAGGTTCTCACAGAGGTGCCAACCCTATTGTGAAGTGTGCATGTGAGGGATCTAGGTTGTGTGCTCCTTGTGAGAATCTTGCGTGATGATCTTAGGTGGAACAGTTTAATCTTGAAACTATCCCCGCACCCCATCCATGGAAAAATTGTCTTCCATGAAACTGGACCCTGGTGCCAAAAAGGTTGGGGACCACTGCCTCATAATTTATGAAGCATACTCACATGTAATATACCTTTTAACTTATGTATACAAGATTTACTTCTTACAAGTTTTTTCTCTTTTCTAAGACATATCGTAGATATACTCTACATGTAAAGTAGGTAGAAAATAAAAAGATTAATATACCATATGATCCATATCCACAGAAAGCTCTAATGGGAGAAGCAAATATACTGATAAATATATACAGTACAGAATGGTAAGCACCAGTAGAGGAACAGGGTTGAGATTGCTTGTGGTGCCTAACTATGGCTACAGGGATGGGAAAGGGTCTCTTAGAGAAGGTAGGATTTAAGCTTGGCCTTATAGGACATGACGTATTTCAGTAAGAAAAGACAGAGGGACAAAGGTTCTCTAAGTCAGTGGAATATCCTGAGCCAAAGCATAAAAGTAGGAAAATTAAGAACATAAATATTTATTTGTGTTCCATTAACTTTAACGTCTAGTGCTGTAGAATCTAACCTGTTTTACTCATAACTTGTAGATTGGCTGTTACCCAGAGAAAGTTTTCACCAAAAGCACCTACTCTATCCTCTTAAATGATGTGTTCATGGGAGCTATAAACTCTACTCTTCGTTAACAGGAACATATTCACATGCTTGAAACAGATCATTTATATATTGTATGCTATTATTTATTTTTTTCTAGTGCTCTAGTGACTGCTGAACACATTCATACATATTTCACAATTGAATCCTTCCAAAATTCTCCATAGTAAGTGACGGTATGTAGTTCTTTTGAGCATTTTTTCTTTAGGGAAAATTAAAGCACCAATGTTTAAACAACTTTTTCCAGGTTCACTTGGCCAATAAATGCAAACTCACACACAATTTTGAACCCATTCTTTATACCTATATAGTTATTACTATGTAGATGCATACAATTCATATTTATCTGTATTGATATGTAAGAGATTCAGAAAATTAAAGTTGAGAAAGATGAAGTCCGAAATTAGTGATTTTGACAGTCAAATTAATTCTGGGTGCACAGAATTGAGAACAAAAGTAAAAGTGGCAGGAAGAGCTCATTTCAGGCAAGTATTAATGGAAGCAAAGTCAGTAGCTAAGAATATGCAAATCACATTTAAAAAGGGAAGGCTTTACTATTATGGGATGAAGGTAAGGATGTCAGGTCTTAAAACAGGGCAGTTTATGTTTTTGTGTTAAGAGTCTTTATATTTCACAAGACTGCAGGGACTGGGCACTTGTGAGTCTACTACTTCTATTTTTTAATAATTGAGGGCAAAATTGTCAAAAGCAGATGCAGCTGAATCTTACATGCCATTCTGTAATTTTATATTGCTCAATAACAATTGGTTTTCATTTCTTCACACTTTAAAATGGATTGAACATAGTTTAGATTCCACCATGAAAAAGATAACTAATGTGAATTTTTATTTTTCTGATGTGAGGTAAATGTATCTGTCTATTGAAATTCTCCATGACTAAAGCATATGTAAACATGTGAAGTGGGTGGATCACGAGGTCAGGAGATCGAGACCATCCTGGCCAACACGGTGAAACCTCGTCTCTACTAAAAATACAAAAATTAGCTGGGCATGGTGGTGGGCGCCTGTAGTCCCAGCTACTCAGGAGGCTGAGGCAGGAGAATCGCTTGAACCCTGGAGGGAGGCAGAGATTGCAGTGAGCCGAGATCGCGCCATTGCACTCCAGCCTGGCAACAGAGAGAGACTCTGTCTTAAAAATAATTTTAAAAAATGTGTTAAAATGGGTAAATTAATTCCATTAAAAAATGGATCATTGCTTGTTACATGGAGATCACTGTATTAAGTGGTTTAGGAGACAGTTGGCAGTGTCTGTGTAGTGGTTGTTCAAAATTATTTTTTATTAATGAGAATCAAATATTAATGAGAATCGAAGTTGTAAGTTTGGAATAAAATATCTCAAAGCTGTGTGGTAGAGCATTATGTGCTGTTCTTAGCATCTTTATGCATTGGAATAATTTATCCTTTTGATTTTTTAGAAAGTTTTGTCTTATTTTAATTGACACATAAGTATACATAATTATGTGTACAGGTGTTGTTTCCATATTGTATTCATTATATGATGATTAAATCTGGGTAATCAACACATAAATCTGTTGCCTAAAACATTTACCATTTATTTTGGTGACATCATTAAAAATGCTTTCTTCTGGCTATTCTGAAATATATAATACAAAAGTGTTAACTCTTGTTATCCTACTGTGCAACGGAACACCAGAAATTTTTCTTCTTGTTTCACTGTAACTTTGTACTCTTTGACTAAGCTCTTCCTGTCTCTCCCTTTCCTATGTTTCTCTCTGGCAGTCACCATTCTACTCTCTACTTCTATGAGAGCAACTGTTTCTGATTCCATGTAAGAGTGAGATCATGCGGTATTTGTCCTGTGTCTGGCTTATTTCACTTAACATAATATCCTCCAGGTTGATCCATGTTGTTGCAAATGATGGGGTTTCATTATTTTTTATGGCTGAATAATATTTCATTGTGTATATGTACCACGTTTTCTTTATCCATTCACCTGCTGATGGGCACTTAGGTTGATTTCATGTCCTGGCTATTGTGAATAGTGCTACAGTAAACATGGGAGTACAGATATAGCTTCGACATACTGACTTCATTTCCTTTGGAAATATATACCCAGCAGTGAGATTTCTGGATCATATGGTAGTTCTATTTTTAATTTTTTGAGGAAACTCCATACTGTTTTCCATAATGGTCTTACTAATTTACATTTCTACCAACAATGTATAAGGGTGCCCGTTTCTCCACTTCCTTGTCAACGCTTGTTATCTTTTATCTTTTTGTTAATAACCATTCTAACTGGAATGAAGTTGTATTTCATTGTGGGTTTGACTTGCATTTCCCTGGTGATTAGTGATGTGGAGCATTTTTTCACACACCTGTCGGCCAATTGTATATCTTCTTCTGAGACATGTCATTTCAGATCTTTTACCCATTTTTTAACCTTTTTTTTCCTGCTATTGAGTTTTTTGAGCTTTTTATATATCTTATATATCCTAGGTATTAACCCCTTTTGGATATGAATATATAGTTTACAAGTATTTTCTTGCATTTTGTAGGTTGTATCTTCACCTGTTGATTGCTTTCTTTGCTGTGCAGAAGTTTTTTACTTTGATGTAATCTCATTTGTCTATTTTACTTTTATTGCCTGTCTCATAAAAAAAAAAAAAATCTTAGGCTCCTAGTTTCATTCTTAATCTGTGAGATTTTGGATTGATCTTTGTATTTCTCTGAGTATGATTTAGAAATATTTGCCTTCATTTGGTCTTTTTTTGTTTTCTCTTTAGCTTAACCAGCTCGAAAAAGCAGTGGAAGCAGCTCACACATTTTTCGTGGCAAACCCTGAGCACATGGAAATGCAGCAGAACATTGAGAATTACAGAGCAACAGCTGGTGTTGAAGCATTGCAACTGGTAGACAGAGAAGCCAAACCACACTTGGTAAGCTCTGTGGACCCCTGCCCTCACCACAGGGAGCTAAGTGCTCCTAAGTTTCATTTGAGTCAAAGCAAATTTCTATGAATGAATGAATATCTCATAAAATTTATTCTCAAATTTTAGTAACATTTTTAGACTTTCAGAGTTCTCAGAATATAATGATCAGGCCTGAAAAAATTGAGATGATTTTTTAAAATTTTAATTAAAATTTTAAAAGTTGAAATAAAAAAACTAAAAAATTAAAAATTTTAAAATTAAGAGAAAATAAAAATTATCTTAGAAATTTGATAAAATATGATAAAAACTAGAACATCATATAATTATCTATAATCCTCTCTGAACCTTTCCAATACTTTTATTTTATACCTAGGAGGTGAGGCCAGTGTAAATTGTTCAGGATTATACTGTGATTTTCCAGTTCCCAGTCCAGTGGTTTGCCCATTGTACCTATACATTTCAAACTGAGGTTTTAAAAAGTGGTATAATTCTTTGTATACACTAAACATTATTTGAAATCACATGTTGAAAGCCTTTTTTTTTTTTTTTTAATTTTTGTTTTTGTTTTTGGTTTTTTTTTTGAGACGGAGTCTTGGTCTGTCACCCAGGCTGGGGTGCAGTGGCACAATCTCGGCTCACTGCAACCTCCACCTCCTGGGTTCATACCATTCTCCTGCCTCAGCCTCCCGAATAGCTGGGACTATAGGCGCTCGCCACTACGCCCGGCTAATTTTTTGTATTCTTTAGTAGAGACGGGGTTTCACTGTGTTAGCCAGGATGGTCTCGATCTCCTGACCTCGTGATCCGCCCGCCTCGGCCTCCCAAAGTGCTGGGATTACAGGCGTGAGCCACCGCGCCCGGCCTTTTAAAAAAATTTTTGACATCACCATTCTCAACATGTAGCCTCCAAAATTACTGCAGAAAAGGATAAGGGAAGACTTTAGGAAATATTTTTTTTAAAAAAACACAAGGCCTAAAAGTGGATGTCACTTCCACCGACATCTGTTGTCCTGCACTTGTTACATGGCCCTACCTATAGGCAAATGATTTGAAAAATACAGTCTTGCATGTGCTAAGGGAAAAAACCGAAATTGACTGATCACATAGCAGCCTATTTGCTCAGTAAGACCCCTCTCACTTGTAAGTATTTGAAGCCAGGAATGCTGTTCTTTATCTCCCAGTGCAACGCTTCTTTATCCCTCCTCAGCACAAGCAGTCAGTACCCCACCTACCGAAATGATCCTCAGTCAGCATAAACCCTTCGCTTTGAAACTAAGAGGTTGTTTGTTTGTTTTTTGTTTTGTTTTGTTTTGTCTGTTTCATTGCAGGAGAGTTACAATGCAGGAGTTAAACATTATGAGGCTGATGACTTTGAGTTGGCTATCAGGCACTTCGAACAAGCCCTAAGAGAATATTTCGTTGAAGATATAGAATGCCGAACCCTATGTGAGGGGCCTCAGAGATATGAAGAATATGAGTATTTAGGGTATAAGACTGGTCTGTATGAAGCTATTGCAGGTAAAGCTTAGTTTTTCATTTTGTTTGTTTCTTGATTATAAAAATACTACTTGCGATTTATAAAAAACTATTCCAGCAAAATAGAAGAATATGTTGTAAAAATAAAAGACTCTCATGTGTCTATCCCAGCCTATCTCCTGTAGAGAAATTTATGTAGTTAAAATTTTGGTGACTGTCTTCCCAAGCTTTTTCAGGTCCTTATGTAAAATATTTGTGTATTTATTTATAGTTATTATTTCATTTCTTATAAAATAGGATAATACTATATATATTGTTTTTCAACTTTTGTTGTTTTATTTTATGCTTAACAATATATTCTGGACTTCTTCTCATGTAAGTACATAGAGTCGTTTTATTGTATTTAATGGCTGGGTAATGCTCTGTTATATAAACACATCGGAATTTAATTGACTAGTCCTTTACTGATGAGTATTTAAGAGGTTGAAATTGTTCATTATTATAAACAATGTAGTAGCGAACACTTTGGTATAGTCTTCAACTACTTAAAATGTTTTGTTATTTAATAAGAATTTAATATATTACAAAGCAGCATTTAAAATAATAGGTAATGCACATTATAGAATAATTTGGGAGATTGGCTAGTTAACCACTTATGAGGGGAAAGTGGGTTCTCTGCTGTATACCTTACACAAAAATAAGTTATATTTGTAATAACAATATAAGTGTAAAATATAGAACTGTTAGAAGAAAATGAGGGAAAGTATTTGTATAATATTAGGAGAAGAAACGCTCTTCTTTTCTTTTTTTGAGATGGAGTTTCGCTCTTGTCCAGGCTGGAGTACAATGGTGCGATCTCGGCTCACCGCAACCTCTGCCTGCTGGATTCAAGCAATTCTTCTGCCTCAGCCTCCCAAGTAGCTGGGATTACAGGCATGCACCACTACACCTGACTAATTTTGTATTTTTTGTGGAGATGGAGTTTCTCCATGTTGGCCAGGCTGGCCTCGAACTCCTGACCTCAGGTGATCCGCCCACCTCGGCCTCCTAAAGTACTGGGATTATAGGCGTGAGCCAGCATGCCCAGCAGAAAAGCTCTTCTAAACATGACAAAAGGCAAGAAAAATAAAAAACAAGTTAAAAACTTTACCTAAGATTTATAAGTACAGATTTATACAATAAACCAAGCTGATCTACAAACACAAATAGAAAGTATTGCAAAATATTTTGTAGGCAAAGTGTTAATATCTTTCATATTCAAAGAGAGCCTGTAAATTATTATTGTTCATAGTAATTTACTTCTTAATTATCAGTAGTAATAATAACCAACGCGGGCCGGGCACAGTGGCTCACACCTGTAATCCCAGCACTCTGGGAGGCCGAGGAGGGCGGATCACGAGGTCAGGAAATCGAGACCATCCTGGCTAACACAGTGAAACCCTGTCTCTACTAAAACTTAAAAAAAAAAAATTAGCCGGGCGTGGTGTCGGCGCCTCTAGTCCCAGCTACTCAGGAGACTGAGGCAGGAGAATGGTGTGAACCCGGGAGGCGGAGCTTGTCGTGAGCCGAGATCGTGCCACTGCACTCCAGCCTGGGTGACAGAGCGAGACTCCATCTCAAAATAATAATAATAATAATAATAATAATAATGATAATAACCAACACGTATGTAGCAATTGTGACCTACAAAGCACTTAACATATTTTAATCTATTTAATGCTTTAAGCAACTCTTATAGATACTATTATTACTTACTCTCCTCTCCCTTTTGTAAATGAGGAATTTTTATCTGAAAAAGATTAAGTGATGTGATTAGAGTGAAGCTGGAACTCATATTTGGACTTTTCTGAATCTAGAATCTATACTTTTAAGGTCTACGGAATTGAAAAGCAGGCAAAGGATAATTTATTAATAATTTTTTCACAAATATTTTTGAAGACACATTTTTTTCTGAGTTTTCCATATATGAAAAGCAATGTTCAACTTCATTTATGTACTAAAATGCCAGTGAATACAATCAGTTTACACTCCCCAACTTCCAATGCTTCCAATCTTCCTAAAAAGCACTACTCATCCGGGAGCAGTGGCTCATGCCTGTAATCCTAGCACTTTGGGATTCCGAGGCAGGTGGATCACCTGAGGTCAGGAGTTTGAGACCAACCTGGCCAACATGGTGAAACCCCATCTCTACTAAAATCCAATTCTTTAAAAAGAACTTTCATGATTGGGCACGTGTGTATGTTTTCATTCATTCTCTCTCCCTCTCACACTCCCTCTTGCTTTTTGATTCCTTAAATATGCCGTACTTATTTCCACTTACAGATCTTCAAAGTGTTGTTTTCTTCTATCTCTTGGCTAAAGGCTTGTCCTATTTAGTGCTCAATCTTCAGTGCCTAAGAAGAGTGACTGTAGTAGGTACTTAGTAAATACTGGTTAAATGAATGGGTTGATTAATGAATGATGAATGAAGGAAGGAGATGACATAGCCATCCATCGCATAGCAGGGATTAAAATGGTTAAATACTCCATGTTTATGAGAATGTAGGTTTAGAATTATTGTTAAGAATTACTGTTAAGGTTTCTTATGGAGACAATTAGGTTATAGCTATCAAAAATTAGACTAGGAAGTAGACTGAAAATTAATATGTCAAATGACCAATTTATGTCACACCCAGTTACTCAAAATCAACTCAGTTTGCCTAAATTCAATACAACGATCTCGATTATTGAGGATATTTTCCCGAAAGTTTTGTTTTCTTTTGGATCTCTGCAAGATCCAGTTGCCTAATTTTTGGAATGTCAGTTTTATGTGTGGTTCACATTTTAATTGTTATTTCTGTACACTTGATCTTGTATTTGGAAATGGCAGATTCTTCCTTTATTATAGCTAACTATGTTGTGGTTGTGGGGGGATATGCATCCTGCTTTCACTCCCACATTGGCCTCTACACCTGCTTCTACCAATGGCCACTGAACAGTTTTGGCCAATGTCCTAGATCTGGTTTAGGAAGATTGACCGACGATTTCCCATAGATTAGCATTTAGTGATTTGCTCAAGGTCACCACAGCATGTTGGTAGCTGGAAAATAATAGAGATCTCATAACTCAGGTTCTTTAATTTTTAAGACTCAAACTTATGAAAAACATATTAATTGCACAATGTCATTTAAGATATAAAGAAGGCAAGGGATACACCTAATAAAAGTAATATGACAGTTCTCACTATATAAATTCTTGTCTGGTTCAAAATTGTCCTAAATTAGGAATAAAACTGGCTTTTTAAATAGCAAATGTATTAGGAAATCAGAATATTTGAATTTTAGAGTTTGACATTAACAGTTGGGGAAAAATACAAATGGCTCCTGAATGCAGTTATTTATTACCAGCCCTGCTATGAAACCCTAAAGGATACGTTTCTGTCACTCCTGTTTTGCTGCTATTTATATCCGCTTTGAAAAAATATTCCCATTCAGATTTTGAGTTTTGGTGGGTATCTTTCACCTTTACCTTTTGCTTGTCACTTGGAATTAAAAGGAATGTGTATTAGAAAGTAAATAGAAATGCAAATGGTAAGTTGAGTAGGAGAAAACAGTTGAAGGTTGTTTGTTTTTGTTTTCTTAAGAAATAAAACAGCTGGTTATTTATTTCTAACATGCTAATCAAATAAATAGAACTCATTCTTCCTTCACATCCCCTGGACTGGGTTTAATAACCAGTGGGCTTTAGGGATTCTATTAGCTGTGCTATAAATCATTCAGTTGGCCAAGTTATGCAAAACTGGCATATTGCCCCACACCAGAAAATGCACATTTCCTTCCTGTTGTGTTTTGGGGTCCCTCTGCAAAATCATCAAGATCCAAGCCAAACTCAGACTAAACAGGGAACCTTTTGAAAAAAAGGCAGTTGTGGTAAATTAAATTGCACAGCTATGAGATCAAATGATTTTATCATCATCCTCAAAAGAACACACTCAGCACAGGCATGAAGGAACTATTCTTTCTGGAAAATACATCCATCTTCATTGTAAAAATCAGTCAAGATGAAACGTAGGAGGCATTTTCTTCTCTGGGACATTCACCACTTGTGTTTCCTCATCTCAGGCTTTGATAAGATAGAGTCCAGGGCCAAAGGGGACATGCAAACCCCAACACTTCAGGACCCTGCAGCAAGAAGAATGGGAGCGATAGAAAGGGGAGTGAAGAGAAATAGGAAATAAAATGCTCATTTAAATTCCTTTCATCCTTCTCCCTAGTTTACCAGTCTCTGGTAAAGAATATACAATATCCCTAATATTAGAATATACAATGTCTAGGCGATAGACTAATTTATAACTGTGTAGAATAGGTTTCTGACCAATAGGCCTAAAAAAACAAAGAGTTTTTATTTCTCCTTTAGGACAAATTGGCTTGAAAATGTGAACAAAGAAAAAGAGCATTTTTGCTTCACTTCTCAGCCTGAATTTCCCACAGCCATGGTTGTTTCTTTTTCCGAACTGTTCCTTAACATTTACTAGCATCTGAACTTCCATTTCCACTTCCAGGGCCCTTTGAACCATCTAAGATATCCAAAGAGGGGCCCCAAAGTTGTTAAATATGAAAACTGACATTCAGCTGGGTGTAGGTAGGGGAAAGTGGACTGTGGGGTATAAAAAGTGTGCATGGGAAGGGAAGAGTGAGGTACAGAGAACAGACTGTGAGCTAGAGGATTTGGAATCTGCTGTCGTTCTAGTGATCACTGATCAGGAGACCTTGGCAAGTCAACTACTTTCTTTGTAAAAAGGTTTTGCAGTCTGAAGTGAGGATTGTAGTAATTTTGCTCTCTGAGTGTGGTAAGGTGAGGGACGCTCTGTGTCACTGTGACTGTGACGTTGACGTTTGGGCACTCAGCAGCCTGGAGGAACACATGTGTTGGCTCTTGTCTTCCAGATCACTACATGCAGGTGCTTGTTTGTCAGCATGAATGTGTGAGGGAACTTGCCACCCGCCCTGGCCGCCTCTCACCCATTGAGAATTTTCTTCCTCTGCACTATGATTACCTACAGTTTGCCTACTATCGAGGTAAAGCGTGGATCATCCGTGAAGACTTCTTGGGGGGTTGTGGTTCGTCATTACAGACATCACATTTTTGTAATTTAGTGTCCTGACTTCTTCAGTTTATTATCAAAGCAATAGGAATGTATGCATTTCTTCTCTCCTGAGCCGCAGGACAAGAAGAGCAGAAGGGGAAATCACCAATGGGCAAAGTATAAAATGTAATGCTGTGATAATTTACTGAAAATTATACTAGATTGATATTTTGCATGATTTTTTAGACTTAATATTTTTTAACTCAATTTAAAAAGAACTTTGCAAAATCCTCTTCCTTCCCAAAAACAAAACATTATTTATTATCCTGGTGTTGATGGCACACAATGAATCATGTGCTGAAGTCATAAACAGTGAATCAAAGTTGAGAGAGTTGCTTAATTTTTATCATTCTTTTTAAAAATCAGGGTCATCTCAGAGTATATATATGTGTGTGTGTGTGTGTGTGCGCGCGCGCGCGCGTGTATGTGTGTATAAATACATACACACATACACGCGCGCACACACCACACATATATATATACACACATACATATATTGTAAATTTCCATTAGAAGAAATACAATGTTGTGAGCTTTTTCAAAACAAAGCATACATTTACAATTTCCCTTGTAATAGCTAAATATTTCTGTAATGAAAAGTTTATATTGGAAACATCCTTGTTAGTTCCTTTTAGTAGTTTGCTACTGTTGGATTTGCTCTAATTGTATAGTGAGGGATTTGAGGGGCTTCCTCCAGGACATCTGGGACTCTATGAAGGACTTTGCATTAAAGTACCAGTTTATCACAAACTGCAGCCACGATAACGTTTTAAAAGCACTTATATTACTCATACATTATGTACAAAATGGTACATTACTGTTGCAAAGGTCATCTTCTGGATGTTTACTTAACCCAAATTCAGTACAAAAATCAGAATTAACTCATACAATTCTGTTTATCTGTGTTAAAGAATAAAAGTTGTCAACAAGCATCTTCAGATAAAAACTTGATAATTTGTGCAAAACAACTAGCACCAAAGCAGACCAAAGGTAATAACTTTTGAATACCTGAAATAATGTCTTTCCTTTTATCTGTGACTGTTTCTGCTTTTTCTGCTGAGCCTCAATTTATCTTCCCTCTTATCCATGTTTAATGCTGACTTCTGTAGACATGTTGATGGCCTCCCTTTAAAATCCTTTGGACAGACCTAAGCTGACTCTAATGCTGCAACTCTTTTGTCTTTCAGTTGGTGAGTATGTGAAAGCCCTGGAATGTGCCAAAGCCTATCTTCTGTGCCACCCAGATGATGAGGATGTCCTAGACAATGTGGATTACTATGAGAGTCTGCTGGATGATAGCATTGACCCAGCATCCATTGAGGCCAGAGAGGTGAGACCAATGTTTTGAAAAGAAATTCTTGATTCTGCATGTGTTCTGGGAAGAGTTGACAAAAATATAACCCTGGTCTTAAAGATATCTAACAATTTAGCAAAGGTTCTAGAACTCAGTTCTTACAAATTTTATTTATGCCGGAGGCACATTTTTGTTCACACATGCTAGCGTGTGAAAGTGTGTTGAGATGGGCCATGTCTTGCAACTCTGAGTATTTGTCAGCTCACTTGTGACTATCTAATGAAAATATTGCCACCTGAACATTTATCATATCTGTTACCTGTTATTTAAATAAAAAATGTCTTTCTTTACTTATTTTTCTCTAGGATTTAACAATGTTTGTGAAACGTCATAAGCTAGAATCTGAGCTGATAAAATCAGCTGCAGAAGGTCTGGGGTTTTCATACACTGAACCGGTAAGAGGAAAGAAGAAATGTTTATTAAAATAATGACTCAGTGGAATTCTTTTTATGTTTTTATTACCTGCCTCCATTTTTGCCATTTACCTCAAAAAGCTAAGATTTTAATGCCCTCCTTGAGGTAAAAATGGGGGTGGGAGATATTTACTCAATATATCTGATGAACTTTAAAAGACGAATGGATTTCCACATCTGTCATTCCATGTTAATGAGGTCCAAAGTCAAAAGCAAATCTATTGGGTAAAAGTGTTTTGTGTAGAACTCATTTGCCCCGGGAGTGTTTCATTTTCCTAAATTCCAGATGTGGTGTTTTAGTTTTTCTTTTAATGCTTGTGTATTACCTAAACATTAAAGAGAATTCAAAATACCGTCAGTCACAATCCTACCGCCCATCACGCTGACTTCACCCCATTTTTTCATGTTGTCTTCTAATCATTGTTTATATGAAGACTTATCTTTTGCAGAAACATATGCTATGGTATAAAGAGATCTGTATTCTGATTTTTATTTAGGAGGATATCATAAGAAATTTCTACGTTTGTATAACTTTAAAAGGTATTTTTAGATACATTTTAGTATCTAAAAAGTAGGTAGAATTTAGAATTTTAGATAGGTAGAATTGATGTACAATAAATAAATGAACTCTTCTGCTGAACATTTGAATTATTTCTGATTTTTTCATTATACAAAATGCATTAAGCATTTTTCTCTATTGAACTATGTCCTTAAAATAAATTCCTAAGAGTGGAATTATTCTGTCATCAAAGGATATAAGGTTTTAAATTTCTTGAAACTAAATTGCTTTTCTAAGAGAATTCTCTTAGAAATTATTTATTATTAATTTACAATTATATATATACTCATATATGATTACTAAGAGAATAAATAATTCTCTTGGAATTATTTATTTGCACGCTATTTTAATACTAACACTATCTCATGTGGGAAGATTTAGTGACTTCTCTAAAGTCTCATACCTCATAACAGATTGAACAGGCGTTTGAATCCTAGTAATGCACAAAAGTACCATTTTACCACAAATTTATCAGCAGTAAGAAATAACATTTTAAAATCACTTTTATTATTTGTGTATTATATATGAAATAATACATCATTTTAACTTATAATTTTTTGATGACCAGCAAGAATAAACCTTTTCACGTATTAACTATTTTTCCTCTTCTTTTAATTATTTGGGCATGGGTTTTGTTCATTTATCCATTGATTACTATGTAAGTTCTTCAAATGATATACAAGTTAATACATTTATAAAATTATTTATAATATGTCCATTTACAACCTTTTTTCATTTCTTATGTCATGTTTTTATAGGCACACTTTTTAAAATGGGTTAATTTTAATGTACTATTTCCAGTACAACACCTTCTAATATATTAATATTTATATCTGGTCTTACTTATTATTCTTTAAAAATTGTGTTATCCAAGAGACCTTAGAATATGTTATTTACTAATTTCATGATATATGCAGATGATTATTTAGGCTGGATTTTGTTTGTTTGTTTTATTCAGAAAACATAAAGAAGTTGAACTGAATACTCTTTGAAATGTTTTTCTGCCACCAAATTCCAAGTCACTTTCTTGGACAAAAGGATGGCTATCCAGGCTAATTCCATACTATTTAAAAAATAGATTTGTATTTCATTTTGTCCTTGCCAAATCTCCACTAACTTTAGCCTTCTTTTGCATTAATCTATAAAATATAAATATATTGTATCTTTACACAATATACAAAATTCCTAAATTATAGATCTTTTGAATGTTTTGTGCATATTTTATTTTACCTTAATTCTGTAAGTGATGTTTTGGTGACAAAATTCCTGCGTTTTTTTTTCAATCGATTCAAAACAGAATTATTGGATCAGGTATGGAGGACGACAGGATGAGAATCGGTAAGTCCATTCAGAATCCAAACTGGTTTTTTTATGAGGAGAAATACTTTAGTACCATAACCTGTCATAGAGAAATGTAGCTCTATGAAATAGGCAAGGGGATATAATAAAATAATTGTAAGCTGTGAATTAGGAGTTCTGCAGCCAGGTCCCAGCTCTTCCTGCCGTGTGTTTGTAAGCTTAGGTAATATATCTTCTGCTTTCTGGGTCTCATGTTTTTTTTTTTCCTTCCAGAAAAAAAAGAGTTAAATCAGGCAATCTCTATGAGCTAACATTCCATGATTCCAAATCTGAGAAGATTGGATACTGTTTTTGATTTATTAACAGAAAAAACTATGCAATGGGTTTTTTGATGGTGAATTCCCTTACCGTATTTACTTGAAATAATGAAGTTCAGAAAGTTATACCGCAAGCTAAAATATTAGGTGTCACTAACTGAATCAGAAATCAAGAAAGCTCATTATTTAAGGTGACAAAAGTCAATTTACATCTTTTAAAGAACTGAAACTCAGAAGGTTAGAAACACTTGCTTGAGATCACATGGTCCAGCTTATTGATTTTCAGATTGGGAAACTGAGGCCCTGACAAGGCAAGCAACCTGCTTAGAGTCTCATCACAAAGGAAGGACAGATCCAGATCTGCTTCTTAGAATCTTGAGGTCTTTCACTAGGCTTCAAAAACTCAATCCTTCGGTGGCATAAGATAACTTCAAGAGATCCAAGAATGTATATACACATTTGGATTTGTTCAATTTTTACATATATAAAGGACAGCCTGCTATCATTTGTGCATTTGCAAATGACAAACCTGTGTCTTCTTTCTCACAATAGTCAAGAACTACTACATTATGACATAATTGATTTCAATCCAACAATTGTTCCATGATGCACTCCATGTTCCAGGCATGGAAACTCTGAGCATTATAAAGATGCGCATGATAATTTTTTCCTACTTGAGATTAGAGACTAATCTGAAGAGGGTTATGTTATGAATACAATGAATTGTAATAAAGGTTGCTAAGAAGATTTAGAGGAGTGAAATAAGGCAAACTCACCGAGGAAATAGAGAACTTCTTAGAGGCAGTGACATTTGACTTTAAAAGAAAGGTGAACTTGTGTTCAAATACACAATATAGAGTCATAGACTACCTGGGTAAAGTATTCTTTGCCTTTGAGCATCGTTATTCAGTGACAAATTGCCATTTTAAATTTTTTGAATGGGCAGGGTCCCTTCAGGAGTGAATGTAGAGGGAGCAGAAGTTCACGGATTGTCAATGGGAAAAAAGTTATCACCCAAGATAGATCGAGACCTAAGAGAAGGTAAGTAGCTGTGGGCTTTTATTCTACAAAGCAGGAGAAGGGGAAGATGGAGCTTGACCATTTCTTTTCCAGATCAAGGAACAACCCACTTTCTCTAGAAAATAAAGAATAGGACTAAACTACTACACTCCCTAGTAGTCTGAAAGCAAGACTTAAAAAAAGAAAAAGAATGTCTTAGATTTGTGTATTATTACCGTAGGTTTCCAAAAGAAAGAAAGAAAAAGAAAAAAAAGCCTCCAAATTCACTCCCTGGTCTGTTTCCCAAGGAATCTTGCATGGTCATCACCATTCTCAGAATACCGGAGGCTTAGCAATTTCCTATGGCTTACTTCTGTTACACAGTCAGTAAGAGCTAGGTAGTGTGGGACAGACTGTATATCAGAGGAACTTGGAGAGGAGACCAGCCTCTCCTCTAACATGGGATATTAAATTAGTTAACCTTAGATGCTTGAAACACGTAGATCTGAGCAGGGCCTTTAGAGAAAGCAGAATGTAGTTGGATGCATGGATGTAGAGGGAACCATTCTAGTGGTTAAAAGAAACTGAGCAAAGGCACAGAGATGAAGCAAGGGAACATTATGTGCCTACTTATGTGAGATGAAAATTAGTGGGGACACAGGTGGAATGTTGCCGAAAACAGTTTTTAAGTAGAGCCAAGCATTGTTAGATTAATAAAAACTATTAGCAATAGTAATGCTAACAGCAGTAGTAATTCTTAACAATTATTATTTCCATATGTTTTATGATTTCCCAGCAAATTTGCACACAATTTATTTATTTGCACACTATTTTAATATTAAACAGCATCTCATGTAGGAAGAGTTAGTGACTTCTCTAAAGTCTCAGAAGCTCAGAACGGGCACTTGAACCCAGACCTTTGACCCCAAATCCCATTTTCTCTTCTTCACCTGCTGCATGAAACATAGAATTGTGTAGTAACAAAAATGTATCACCTATTGATTAAATAATTGCAAGACAACAAGAGGCTTTCAAAATGCTGCATTGGGAAGAAGTACAGTACTTCTTTCCCCAGGAGACCTTGTCAGCACATTCCTCTGATTTGAAAACTTTTGGCTCCCTACAACTCTCACATTTCCCATCCCTTTCCTTCCTTAGCTTCCAAGTCAGTTTGAAGCAGTAAACAGGATAATAGGCTCATCTAATCTGACCTGGACCTCAGTTTGCAGCCACAAAGCCCAAGCTGTTTTACACATGCCAGAGAGCTTCATGGTCAGCCAGAGTTCATGTTGCCTTTTAGGCTGAGAAATCACCCAGGAAGTTCATGCCAATAAGCCAACACATTGCTGTAAATGTTTGGGAAACTCCAGGACAGTTGCCAAATTTTAAAGCATTTTTTTCACCCCTGGCTACCAGGGAATCTGGTGTCCAGCAACTGACTGGAAGGTTAATAGAAGAGCAGGACAGAAGACTACATGTGATGGAGAAGGATCATGATTAATTGGGCTACCCAAATCTACCACTTCTACAGAATTGTCTAGGTCGAAATGGCTAATGGATTGTAGGATGGAATGTGTTCTGGGAAACTACTGGTCTGAAGGAAAAACAAACAAACTTTTTTGCCTACCATACTCTCATATTCAATACAAAATACTTCTGTGGCCAGATGTGTGTGAGGTTTCACCCACACGCACCAGTAATTCTCCAGTGGATAGCAAGTGAGTGTGAGATAATCCAATTCAGTTCTGACACTGTCTGGAAATAGTGTCAGATCCCACAGGTTAAGGGCTTAGCCCACAAGACTACTCCCATTTCAGATGCCTATTGCAAGTATAAGATGTTACCTGTACTTCTGACCAACCCCTTGTTGACCAGCTACAAACCAGTGTTCCCATGATCCTGACTTTGGGTTAGGTTAATTTGCTAGAGCATCTCACAGAACTCAGGGGAACTCCTGTGTTTACTGGTTTATCACAAAGGATGCAGATGAACAGCTAGATGAAGAGGTACACAGGGCAAGGTGTGGGGGGATAGGAGGAGGAGCTTCCATGCCCTCCATGGGCAAACCACCCTCCCAGCATCTCCGCGCTCTCAGCAACCTAGAAGCTCATCAAATCTTGTTGTTCAAGAGTTTTTATACAGCTTGATCTGCAGGCCCGAAACTCCTTTCCCAGAGGCCTGTGGGTGGGGCTAAAGGTTTCACTTTCCTAATCACTTGCTCTTTCTGGTGACCAGCCCCATTCTGAGTCTTTTCAGGGTCCCTACCCTAATTCACCTCATTGGCATAAGCTTAAGTGTGATTAAAAGGATCTCATTATGAGTAAAAATGGACACACTTATCCCTTGGAAAATTCCAAGGGATTTAGGAGTTCTGTGCCAGAAACAAGAGATAAAGACCAGCATATTTCTTATTATATCACCACTAAAAAGCCTGTTGTCCAGTCATCAGATACCTAATTAGGATCTAAATTAAGAACAATTGCAGATAGAGACAAAGTTTCCAACCAGAAAACACTTTCATATCTTTTTTTGTTTTGAGATGGAGTCTTGCTCTGTCCCCCAGGCTGGAGTACAGTGGCATGATCTTGGCTCAGTGCAATGTCTGCCTCCAGGGTTGAAGCAATTCTTCTGCCTCAGCCTCCTGAGTAGTTGGGACTACAAGTGCGGGCCACCACACCGGACTAATTTTTGTATTTTTAGTAGAGATGAGGTTTCACCATATTGGCCAGGCTGGTCTCGAACTCATGACCTCATGATCCTCCCGCGTCAGCCTCCCGAAGTGCTGGGATTACAGGCATGAGCCACCGCGCCCAGCAACATTTTTGTATCTTAATTTCACTAAAATGGGATGTCAGGGAGGCATATGTCGCAGAATAAAGTATACTTCAGCTTTTCTCCTCTTCCCCAAAGAGATCGTCATCTACTCTGGATGCCTAATAGTGTTTAGTATTTAGTATTATTCCTACTGGACAGCTCCTAAGCATTAAGATGGGGTGACTCAGGGCTATTTACATCCCACAGTGGCTTCAGCCCATGAAACATGCGTGATATGGTAAGTCACTAAAAAACATTGCTGTCACTTGTCCATTCTCCTTTCACTCACCAGATTTATTTTATTTTATTTTATTTTATTTTATTTTATTTTATGTTTTTGAGACAGAGTCTCACTCTGTCACTCGGACTGGAGTACAGTGACGCGATCTCAGCTCACTACAACCTCTGCCTCCTGGGTTCAAGTGATTCTGTCTCAGCCTCCTGAGTAGCTGGGATTACAGGTGCATGCCACCATGCCCAGCTAATTTTTTTTTTGTTTTTCTTTTTTAAGTAGAGACGGGGTTTCACCATCTTGATCAGGCTGGTCTTGAACTCCCGACCTCAGTTGATCCACCCGGCTCGGGCTTTCAAGGTGTTGGGATTACAGACCTGAGCCACCATGCTCAGCCCACCCACCAGATTTTTAAAGGTTGTGATGGATTTGAGTCCAGAGTCAGTAGAGGGATAGTAGAAACAATGTTGAATAAACCTGGAATCGGGAAGCTTAGTTTCTGGGACTATCTCAGTCTTATATGCTCCACGGTGATGCAGATCTAGTGACTCTATTTCTCCGGGCCCCATGATTTTTATCTATAAAAGAAGGATAGTAACTGTTTTAAGATGGTGAACATAAAAAGTTCTTTTTTTTTTTTAAGAGTCAGAGCCTCGCTCTGTTGCCCAAGCTGGAGTGCAGTGGGGTGATCTTGGCTCACTGCAACCTCCGCATCCCGGGTCAAAGTGATTCTCCTGCCTCAGTCTCCTGAGTAGCTGGGATTATAGACATGTACCACCATGCCTGGCAAATTTTTTTTGTATTTTAGTAGAGGTGGGGTTTCACTGTGTTGCCTAGGCTGGTCTTGAACTCTTGAGCTCAGGCAATCTGCCCGCCTCAGCCTCTCAAAGTGCTAGGATTACAGGTGTGAACCACCGTGTCCGGCCTTTTTTTTTTTTTCCTTAAACTGTGAAAGGCTGAATTCATATAAGGGCTTGTTAGCCTGCCTACCCCATCATGCTTTGTATGACACTATCGAATTTCTGATAAAGTGATTCTTCTTGCCATGAGCCAGACAGGGAGTACAAGGGAGTACTTTCTTAGATGATCCCTTTTTGTTGCAACCAGAGAGTCAGAGCCAGGCACATACTTTATGAATGAGAGAAGAATTAAGTTGTTTGACTCAATCTTCTTGGACTGTGGTTAAGAATTGGCTGAAGCCATCAAATCAGGCCCCAGAAACCACAATTTATTGGACTACATTTTAATTTTAATTTTAATGTTTTCCTCTGTCTGGTGTGCTACTAGTCATATGTAGGCTGGTTGACTTGTCTGTTGAATGATAGGGTTTCATTTATCTTTTTTTTCCTTTTGGTTAGTGGATGGGTAGGGGGCCATTTTTGTTAAATGTACGTGTGGGAAGTATCTGTGTAAAATTCTATATTTACTAATATTAATGATTACGTTGCTACATGAAAGGCAGATTTCTAATGCAGATTCTCCTGGAACCCAAAATTCAGATATTTAAGACTCCATGTTGCATTCTTCCTTCACTTGGGTCTTTGCATGTTCTTATGAAATGCTAGGAGATTGTCTGTATCCCAGGAGCCTTCTCTTAAGGCTCTATGCTTATTAAGGTGTCTGAGTCAGAACTTATTACAGTATTCCAAGTGTAGCTTATTAATTCAACAATAATGATAGTAATGATAATACATACTTATAATGGAGCTTAAGACTGATAGACATTTTCCTAAATATTTTAGTTTTGCTAACTTTCAAAATCATATTTTGAAAATAAGCTAATTATGTTTAAAATAATACATCTTCAATGTAGAAAAAGAGAAAAACTTGGCAAAGTATAAACCAACTTAATTCACTAGATCTCTCATCTGTCTTTCATTTATATTTTAGTTTTATATTAGCAAATGCTTTTCAGTGAATCTACAAGTATCGCATCTTTCTTGTTAAAGGAACATTTCTTTTTATACTTCTAAATTGGAATGGAACATACAGTTCACTTTTCCAAATATGCGAGGGAAGGCCTATCTCAATTTGACTACAAATCTTAATCAGCTCCATAGATTAGAGCAGCCTTTTCCAAATCGCCTTCCATGCTAAGATGTCTTGGGGGGATTTTTAAAAGACTACTTGGCTGGGCGTGGTGGCTCATGCCTCTAATCCCAGCACTTTGGGAGGCTGAGGAGGGAGGATGGCTTGAGTCCAGGAGTTGGAGGCCAGCTTGGGCAACATAACAAGATCCTGAAAAACAAAACAAAACGAAACAAAAAAACTAGGCATGGTGGCATGTGCCTGCAGTTCCAGCTACTTGGGAGTCTGAGGTGGGAGGATCACTTGAGGACAGGAGGTCAAGGCTGCAGTGAGCCATGATGATGGTGCCACTGCACTCCAGCCTGAGTGACAGTGAGACCTTGTCAAATAAATATTTTAAAGACTACTTTTTTATTGTTGTGAAAAAAAAAACAAAAATATAGCAGCTATGAAAATATCCATTTATTATCTCATAGTTTCTGTGGGGTAAGAGTCTGCAGAGAATGTAACTGTGTCCTTGGCTGCAGGCTCTCTCACCGGTTTCAGTCAAGCTGTTGACCAGGGCTGAGGTCTCTTCCGAGGCTTGACTGGGAAGGATCTTCTTCCAAGTTAGATAACAGAATTCAGTTCCTAAAAAGTTGTTGGACTATGGCCTTTTAGTTTCTAGTTGGTTGTTGGCTGGAGGATGCCTCTATTTCTTGCCATGTGATCCTCTCCAGTATGACCACTTGCTTCACAGCCTGCCAGCGGAGAAGGCAAGAGACTGAGTCTGTTAGCAAGATAGAAGTTGCAATCTTATGTAATGTAGTCACAGAAATGACACCTAATCACTTTTGTCATATTCTGCTTAGAAGTAAGTTCCGGGTTCCACTTGCACTTGTGGGAAGCAAATTGCACAGCTGTATGAATGTCGGGAGGCAATGATCATTGCAGTCCATCGTAAAGTCTCTGCTACAGGAAGGAAGTTGGGGGAGTCAGGGAGGGAGAGCGTTGTATTCAATTAAGGCTAAAAACTGCTGCCTATTATATCACTGTTTAGGACATTAATAAAGCCTGTTCACATATTAAACGTTCTGAGACGCCCTCTTACATTTTATTTAACCCAGTACTTTCCCAGAACTTTCAATGAAACAAAATTTGAGAAATAGTGAATTGTAGAAAAGCATATTTTTCTATTCAACTAAAAGATGTGATACTAAAAGAGGGGGCTTATGGATATATTCTTGGGTTCCAAAAATTCCATATTTATAAATTGTGATCACAATTTTCAAAAATTAAGAGAAGCAATTAGGGGTTATGTAAGGGATCAACTTCTAGCCAGGTGGTATCATGGGATTCCATAGTTCACTGGGCACAGTTATGGTCATATTGACACCAATTAATAACACTTCAGTGATTAAAGACTAGAAATAAATGAAATACAATGAACTTATAAATAATGTATTAGGCTCAGGTGAAAGCTGGTGGAGATAATTGAATCATGGGGGTGATTTGTTCTCCTGGTGGTGAATAAGTCTCACCAGATCTGAAAGTTTTATAAACAGGAGTTTCCCTGCACAAGCTCTCTTGCCTGCCACCATGTGAGACATGACTTTCTCCTTCTTTGCCTTCTGCTATGATTGTGAGGTCTCCCCAGATGTGGAACTGTGAGTCCATTAAACCTCTTTTTCTTTATCATTACCCACTCTTGGGTGTGTCTTTATTAGCAGCAAGAAAATGGACTGATACAAAGGCCAAAATTAATCATGGTACATTAAGATTGTGTAGTAGTTTAACTAGAGAAACGTTGTGGTAGAATAGTAATTATACACCAACAGTACTATAAGGAATCCTGGCTCAAAAGAACCCAGACCAGATCAGTGAGTAGAATATTCATGTGGAAAGTAGCTTTTTATTTTCAGAAAAATAACATTAACCATTTCATTTATTGATTGGAATTTAGTTCATTTTATGGTCTTGCTTTTATTTAGTCTTGTAAATTGGTTTGGGTACTGTATGAAACTACTAAAATAAATAATGCGTACATAGTTTTATGATTGCGTATATAGAAGTAAAATTAGAGTAAAAATAATTTGTCAGCACTGGAGCTCCTTAGGGAACTTTTGCTTTAACAGATAAATGAACATTACTCCAGATTGAGAAACACTGCCTCATTCTTTTAATATTCCATTAATCATGAGCTGTAGTGAGTCTTTTATCCTAGCTAGACTAATAAACATTTAGCTCGTGCCCTTCCCTAGGCTGACTAATCTATTTTATAGAGATAAAGTAGACATCAATTTCAATTGTCTCTTCTTCCTCCAACAGAAGTGTTTTAGGCCAACGTGTTGGTGACTTTTGCTAGACCTGGGGTGGCAGGGAGTTGTGCCTTCCCTACCCCTGCTGTCCTTATCTTGAGCTGTTGCTATGGACAAGCACGCATCAGGCCCCTTGGGAGTATGCTAAATGGTTAGAAGCAGTGCTTTCTTTTCTGTTCGATTTTCTGGTTCAAAATGTCTACACTATGCTACATCAGGAGATTTCCTCTCTATCACAGGCTTTGTCCTTCAGTCCTACTCTATGAGAGAAGGACTTTGTCAGGTCTGGATTTTGTAATTTCACAACCTAAAATGTGATCCAAAAGCAGCACCCTCTGAAGAGCCTATCTGGAGCTAATGTTATAAACTTGTGGTCTCTCTCTGGGAAGAGAGTAGGTGCCTAAAGGAAACCCTCCTGTGTAGAAATAGAAACGTGAAGATTTTGCCTAGAGAACAGAGAAAAACACTCCAAAAGCAAGATAACCTAGGGTCAGTTATGTGGTAGGAAGAAGACTGAGGAGGAGTCAAGTGACTCCTGACTTGGGTGTGACTGCCTGAATTACCTGGTGAAGGTGTTGCTCTAGACACCAGTGAAACTGAGGTGTGCATGTCATACCTGGGGACCCAAACATGCACTCTGTGGTGTTGCGACAGAGGTATGAATGAGGGACTGTGAACAAGGGTGGGCTTTCTCAGAAGAGAGTCCCATGAGATGCCCAGTCGACTTTTTGGGATCAGCATTAGAAACAAATGCAAAAATAGTTCTATCTCTCCCCAAATAATGTACACATGTGATATTATTATGACATTATGAGGAAACCTGATAGTCAGACATCTGCCTTTCTCCTGAATCTATGATGTGTTTATCAAGCTTCCTAATTCGCTATTTGTCTTTGCATTTCTAAATATTCATGAGGAAACGAACTCACTCGAATTGCACATTGAAAGCTATTTGGTATTCTGTGCTTCCTTTCTGGGGACAGAGGTAACAGGGAAGACAATGTGTTCTGTTCCTTTAGGTGGTCCTCTGCTCTATGAAAACATCACATTCGTCTACAACTCAGAGCAGCTGAATGGGACTCAGCGGGTTCTCCTGGATAATGTCCTGTCGGAAGAACAGTGCCGGGAGCTCCACAGTGTGGCCACTGTGAGGACCGGGAGAAGGAGGGGAGCTCACTGCACTGGTCTGCCAAGAAGCTGGAACTGCTTTGGTCCTGGTCTCATCTGGAGCCGAGGAAAAAGCCCTGAGATATTGCTTTCTTTCGGAGAAAGACATAAATTATTTTTGAGGAACTTATATAGCCTTCGGGTTGGGATTATTTTAGTTTTCCCAGGTGGGATCTGGAATAGCTACTGGCATATTTCCTAGGCCAACAGCCATCTAGCAAGGTCCCTGCCCATCATATAAAGTTGCTGGATAAATCCTTTTATTTTAATTAAGAATTAGCCAATATATCAGTAATTTACATTCTTTTTATTTCCATAAAAGATGATAGTATTTGATAATAAAAATGTAGAATGAAGATTAAATAAAGATGTCTCTTTTAATTAAAAGAAATAGTTACCAGCATCTTGGAATAAAATGGAGATGGTTCTTAGCATTGACTAGAGTTCTCAGCTTTCTGGCAACCAAAGCAGAAAATGACCCAGTGAATTCATAGTTATCATTGATGAAGTATCTTCTTGTATTTGCTTCCAGGGAATCATGCTTGTTGGTGATGGATACAGAGGAAAAACTTCACCCCATACACCCAATGAAAAGTTTGAAGGTGCAACTGTCCTGAAAGCACTCAAAGTAAAGTCTTAACTTCTTTTGGGTTTGAATTCCTTAGTGTCAGCCTAAGGCTTCTGTAAATGGCAGATATAGGAAAGAAAAAAGTTTCAAATATGTACCTAACAGAACAGTTGAAGAAAGCAAGTGTGAAATGGAACCTTCATTGTATTTAATCATTCCTCCATTCAGCCATCAACTTATCAAACTTTAGATTTCCTGACAAAAAATATACAAGCCTTCTTTGTAAGATCATGATCTAATAGTGAAAACATATTCAAACAAGTAATTATTCTCTACTGCAGGAAGGGTTGTTAGAGAGGACAGTAGAATATATTATAATAGAAGAGAAGAGGAACCAAGTAGCTTTTAGCTTTCCATCTGCTATTGGGAAGTTTATTCCAATGGCACAATGTCCTAACCAAAATCCACAAACATGTGGTAGTCTTCCCATTAGTCAATGCAGACATGATACTTCTATGTTGGCTCAATGCAATGTAGTGCCTGTTTTTCTTACATCCTCCAATGAACCCATTTGTTTTCTCATGTTCTTTTTTTTTTCAGTCTGGTTATGAAGGTCGAGTCCCACTGAAGAGCGCTCGTCTGTTTTATGACATCAGTGAAAAGGCTCGAAGGATTGTAGAATCTTATTTTATGCTGAACTCAACTCTGTATTTTTCCTATACACACATGGTCTGCCGAACAGCCCTGTCTGGTGAGATTCCAGTCTGAAATGGTTCCCTTTTACCCACAATACATTGGGAAATGAAACAAGGTGAAACAAAGCTCTACAGCATGGTAGATTAATATTTTAGATGAATTCTAGATTTCTAAAACAAAAGTAGCTTATGAACTCTCATTTTGCTTCTCTCTTTTTCTTCATTTTGGTTTTCTGAAGTTCCAGAAAACCCTCATTCTGAACATTTTCCCTTCCAAGTCAATTTTCCCCAATTGCTGAAGTCTGGAAAAAAAGAAAAATGCTCTTCTGCTGTAGGTTTGCCATTTTGAGGAATCAGGAACATGGAAATCACAGTCACCATGATGTCTACCAGCATTAAGTGGAAGCATAGAAGATGAAGGGATGATTGCAAGAAATAATCTTAAAAAGACAGAGACCTCCTCAGTCCCTGCTCATCATTATTTCTCCTCTATGTCTTATGCCCCCCTGAATGGGGCGGCGGGAGGAGAATGATGTCACAGGAGTAGACTTTACACTTGGGAAGTTTTAGCTGAATTAAATCTTTTTTTTTTTTTTTTTTTAATTTTTCACTTCCTCCCCATTGTTTTGCTGCCCTACATGAAGTACAACCCATGAAATGAATGGAATTTGTTCATGTATGTTTATATCAGAAATAACTTTTATAGCTGAAAAGACAGGTGTGACATGCTCAAGGTTTCGCATCCACTTCACACCAGAACCAGACCAGAGGCTCAACTACGTGTCCACTGTTCTTTCATCTATTCTTTCCTGTTGTCTGCCTCCCCCCATTTGCAAAGATCATCAGGACTGGGAGAAGACAGATTGTCAGTTACTTTGGTGGAAGTTGCTGCACTTCATTTCTTGTTCTTCCCTGTTCCCTTTTCTGGCAGGTCAGCAGGATAGAAGAAATGACCTCAGTCATCCCATCCACGCTGACAACTGTTTGTTGGATCCAGAGGCCAACGAATGCTGGAAAGAGCCTCCTGCTTACACATTTCGAGACTATAGGTATAGCTAGAACCTGCTTCAAAACAAAGCTTTTACCTAACAGTTTTCAAACAATGAAAACTGGAAAGGTGCTCTGTTTTGCTTGATGTCATGTTCATTTCTCCGAGGCAGAAATTCTCAAATAATCTTCTGAAGCAGCTGCCACAACCAATAAGTGGCATTATCATCTCACTTTTATCTTAAAAATTGTGCACATTTTGCATCCCATTTCACAAAATGTCCATTTTGTTTTAATATGAAAAGTAAATTTTATGGTTTTTTTTTTTTTTTAAATTCCTGTTCTCCCTGGAACATATTCCTTGTGGTATGTGTATTTCAGTCAGAATACAAGGGCATGGAGTCTCGGCCTACATAAGGACTTTATCACATCACGTATCTATTCACACCCAAGAAGAACGATGTCTGCATTTTATAAATAAGACACTAGAGACTCAGGAGAAAAGAATGTCCTAACCTACTGAGAGATATTTCAGTGTGTAAGGAATCAGGAGTTATAATCACCATGTGTTCATCATTACTACACTGTACTCTATTCCAAAACATTTATTAAGTGCCCGCTATCTGCAAGGCGTGGCTGGGCCACAAGGGACTCTCCAGCAAGTTAAGGAGAAAAACAACAACAAGAACAAAACAAACAAACGAAAAAAAACATCCTTTAGAGTTATATAAGGGAAGAAGAGTTGTAAATAGGTGGGCAGGTTCAGAGGGCTAGATTAAATTAAAACTAGTTAGGTTTTCTGTGGAGGAAGTGAAATATGAGACAAGCTTTGAAATATGATTACAATTTTAATAAAGGTGGAATAAGTAACCTCTTCAGAGGTATAACCCAAATTCTATCTGATCTTCTCTTTAAGAGTTTGGAGGGCCAATTATATCAATGTCTAGTTCAAAGGAAACTTACTAATGGAGGCTGGACAGTACATCACCAGTCTTCAGTATTCTATGACCATGCTATCATAAGCATATAATAAGACAAATGGTTTTCTCTTCATTCTTCTAGTGCTCTCCTATACATGAATGATGACTTTGAAGGAGGAGAATTCATATTCACTGAGATGGATGCTAAGACTGTGACTGTAAGTAAACCTATTCTTGCATACTTATTTAGTATTTTTTAGCTCAGTATTGCCATTTTTCTAAGGACTTACAGACTGTTGGATTTCAAATACTTCTGAGCTCAAGATTTCAAGAGGTTAAGAGAGTCTCAGCAAATGTATAGATCATAACCTGTTAGAAGTAGCCATAAAAATCTAGTACATTGTAAAGATGAGTAAGTTAAAGAATTGAGATATTAAGCATTTTATCATGATTGTATAGCCAGTTAGTGTTAGACTTGGAACCAAAACCTAGTTCTTCTAATTATTTGTCAAGTAATCTGATGGACACATAAGAACATCAGTTCCTAAGTCACCCAAGTCTAGAATAAGTCAAATGATTCTACAAGGTGTCTTTCAAGTAACCCGGTGTTCTACATACTTGGACTGAACATTGGCCTTCAAATATCTAGTTACAAAAATTATCATATATGTGTGTATGTATGTGTGTGTATATATACCTATACATACAGGGGTGTGTGTGTGTGTGTGTATATATATATGCCCACTGCAGCGTCCTTTCCCGTGCAGACATGGCCATATATACATATATATACACACACACACACATATGCATATATATATGCATAGAGAGATATGATTGTGACTGTATGTAATAAACCTATACCTGAAAATTGATGTACACACACACACACACACAAATATGTAAATAAAGAGTAAATCACAAGTTCAATTTAACCACCATCTTCCTAAGCAAACCCGTGCCTTTGGAAAGAAGCCTACTTAAAGACCATATAGTTAGCATCCTTTGGTCTGTAAGCCAAAGAGCGTACACAATGGTAGAAAAACATATTTTCAACAGCTACCGCTCTCTGGCCCACTTTGTTCCCTTAGTCCCGAGTGCTCACCCACTGCAGCTTCCCTTCCCGTGCAGACATGGCCTCAAGCACCACCACCACCGCCATGAAGATTGTAATAATGTGGAACAGGTCTGGATGATCCAGAAATTTTAGAAGGAAGAACTGAAAAATATGTGGATACTTCATTTGGCAAGCCATCTGATGCCTTAATTTTGGGGAAGATTAAAAAAATGTTGATTGTGTCCTCCTTGCAAGGCATGGGAGGCAGCACACCATCATGCCTTCCAAGGTCAGCTACCAGGCGAACATCTGGGCTTTGAGGGAAGAGGGCTGTACTCATGTCATAGGGACCACAGCTTGTGGCTGCTTGAGGGAGGAGATTGAACCTGGCGATATTGTCATAATTGATCAGTTCATTGACAGGACCTCTTTGAGACCTCAGTCCTTCTGTGATGGAAGTCATTCTTGTGCCAGACGACTGTGCCACATTCCAATAGCCAAGACGTTTTGCCCCCAAATGAGAGAGGTTCTTATAGAGACGGCTAAGAAGCTAGGACTCTGGTGCCATTCAAAGGGGACAATGGTCACAACTGAGGGACTTTGTTTTAGCCCTTGGGCAGAAAACTTCATGTTCTGCACCTGGGGGTGGATGCTATCAACATGCCCACAGTTCCAGCGGTGGCCCTTGCTAGGGAGGCTGGAATTTGTATGCGAGTATCGCCATGGTGACAGATTATGACTGGTGGAAGGAGCACAAGGAAGTAGTTTTGGTGGACCGGGACTTAAAGACCCTGAAGGAAAATGCTAGTAAAGCCAAAAGTTTACTTCTCACTACCATACCTCAGTAGGGTCCATGGAATGGTCAAAAACCCTCCAGAGCCTGAAGAATATAGCCCAGTTTTTTGTTTTAAAATTTTTGCAATCTATCCATCTGACAAAGGGCTAATATCCAGAATCTACAAAGAACTTAAACAAATTTACAAGAAAAAAGCAAACAACCCCATCAAAAACTGGGAGAAGGATATGAACAGACACTTCTCAAAAGAAGACATTTATGTGGCCAACAAACATATGAAAAAAAGCTCATCATCACTGGTCATTAGAGAAATGCAAATCAAAACCACAATGAGATACCATCTCACACCAGTTAGAAATGCAGTCATTAAAAGGCAGGAAACAACAGATGCTGGAGAGGATGTGGAGAAATAGGAATGCTTTTCCACTGTTGGTGGAAGTGTAAATTAGTTCAACCGTTGTGGAAGACAGTGTGGCGATTCCTCAAGGATCTAGAACCAGAAATACCATTTGACCCAGCAATCCCATTACTGGGTATATACCCAAAGGGTTATAAATCATTCTACTATAAAGACACATGCACATGGATGTTTATTGCAGCACAGTTCACAATAGCAAAGACTTGGAACCAACCCAAATGCTCATCAGTGATAGACTAGATAAAGAAAATGTGGCACATATACACCATGGAATACTACGCATTCATAAAAAAGGATGAGTTCTATCAGGAGAACCCACTCCTGATGTTTAACATGGGTTCTTTTCTATTTCCTAAGTGTCTCGGCTGGGTTGAGAAATAAAGGGAAAGAGCTCAAGAGAGAGAAATTTAAAGCTGGGTGTCGGGGGGAGACATCACATGTTGGCAGGATCCATGATGTTCCCCAAGCCGTAAAACCAGCAAGTTTTTCTAAGTGATTTTCAAAAGGGGAGGGAGTGCACGAATAGGGTGTGGGTCACAGAGATCACATACTTCACAAGGTAATAAAATATCACAAAGCAAATGGAGGCAGGGCGAGATCACAGGACCACCAGATGAAGTGAAATTAAAATTGCTAATGAAGTTTCAGGCACGCATTGTCATTGATAACATCTTATCAGGAAACAGGGTTTGAGAGCAGACAACCTGTCTGACCACAATTTATTAGGCGGGAATTTTCCTCGTCCTAATAAGCCTGGGAGTGCTACCGGAGACCAGGGCTTATTTCATCCCTTTGGCTTCGACCATAAAAGACGGGATGCCTTCTAAAGGGGCCATTTATAGGCCTATCTTCAGGGCGCATTCTCTTTCTCAGGGGTGTTCCTTGCCGAGAAAAAGAATTCAGCAATATTTCTCCTATTTGCTTATGAAAGAGGAGAAATATAGCTCTGTTCCGTCCGGCTCACCCGCGGCCAGTTCAAAGTTACCTCTCTTGTTCCCTGAACATCGCTGTTATCCTGTTCTTTTTTTTTTAAGATGCCCAGATTTCATATTGTTCAAACACACATGGTCTACAAACAATTTGTGCAGTTGACACAATTACAGGGTCCTGAGGCGACATTCATCCTCCTCAGTTTACGAAGAAGATGACAGGATTAAGAGATTAAAGTAAAGACAGGCATAGGAAGACACAGGGGTATTGACTGGGGAAGTGATAAGTGTCCATGTAAGAGATTACAGTAAAGACAGGTGTAAGAAATTATAAAAGTATTAATTTGGGGAACTAATCAATGTCCATGAAATCTTCACAATTTTTGTTCTTCTGCCATGGCTTCAGCTGGCCCCTCCGTTCGGGGTCCCTGACTTCCCGCAACATCTCTCCCTTTCTTTTTATATAAATGTGCCATGGCGATGAAGGCTTGTTCATTCTCTCGATTTTGACGCCGGTCCCTCCATTCGGGGTCCCTGACTTCCCGCAACAGAGTCCATGTCCTTTTCAGGGACATGGATGAAGCTGGAAACCATCATTCTCAGCACGCAAACACAGGAACAGAAAACCAAACACCGCATGTTCTCACCCATAAGTGGGAGTTGAACAATGAGAACACATGGGCACAGAGAGGGGAACATCACACACCAGGGCCTGTCACGGCGATAGCATTAGGAGAAATACCTCATGTAGATGACGGGTTGATGGGTCCAGCAAACCACCATGGCACATGTATACCTAGGTAACAAGCCTGCACATTCTGCACAGGTACCCCAGAACTTAAAAGTCTAATAAAAAAAAATGTCCAATTGAGGAAGTAAGCAGATTATAGATTACCAGGTATCTCTTACCACCATACAAAATCTAAGTAGTTGGGACATGTATGTGATAAACTTCAAAATTTTGGCATTATAGAAGCTATTTCTAAACGTTTCTTGAATGTTATGCTTGTCCCTCTTAGCTTACATGCTTTTCTCATTAGTGAAACATATGTACCATTCATGACACACACATGTCATTCATGACGCGGTACTGTGGTATAAGCAGATAATATCAAAAAGTATGTATTACTGGGTTTAAAGGTGATTCCTATAAGGATTCTGGTTAAAATTGTCTAGAAACATTGTAATAACTAAGAAAAATATTTCATGTAACTTCATACAGTAATGTATCTTAAAAAGTCATGATGCCTCACTTTTTGGGTAAAAAACTTAACTGTTAATATGGGAGTAATTTAATGCTCCATAATCTGATAAATTAAATAAGGACTGACGATCTGTATTGGAGTTTAAAATCCAGAAGTTTTTTTTTCACTTCTGGGAAAGCTTGTGTATAGGAAGCATTTTATTTCTAGTCTCTGCTAACACTGAAACTGAGGTACAAAAACACTGGCATTTCACAGTTTCAAAGGAAGTCAGACAGGTGGTTGAAAAGATTTCTTCGCTTCTCCTCCATCTAGTGGCCGTATTTGGAAATGCTTAATGCTTAAAGCAGGGGATGCCTGTTTCATTAACTGTTGAATGTCAAGTTAACTGGAATTCTGCTTTTTAAAGATGTGGAAGCAGATAATATTCTCCTTTTAGAGTGCTACAATTTTAATTAAAATCTATAGCTATTTTTTAAAACCCTGAATCTAGCCTCCCCTAAAATAGGTAAAACTTATTTTAAAAAATTTTAATCCAAAAGTTTCTGTTTGAGAACATTTATTTCCTCAAATGAGTTATACTTCATATTAATGCATACAATGCCATTTTAGGGAATAATATAGATAACTAAAATTCTTATGCAAGCCAGTTCTTATTTGTTCCCCATAGGAAGTTTATTCTAGTACCAGTAACAACAACAACAACAACAACAAGAAATGGGTATTTTTCTGTTTTAGTTTCCCTTTGACTGTGGAGGGACAAATGGAGCAGACAAATGGCATAACTTGAGGCCACACAAGGAAGCAAAGTCTTCTGAGTCCTTTACTTTGGAAACATCTGGAAGTTGTATAATTATCTGAAAGGTGGCTGAAATTTTTCTTTTATTAAAGACAATTACAGCACAAATGCTTTTCTAAATCAATCATCAGTTAGACGGAAAGCAAAAGGATTATTTTAAATTATGCTTAGTGTACTTCTAAGATACGTGGGTTCTTTTCAATAGCAGCATTTGTTTATGAGACCTGGGAATTCAAGGATGTTGGTTTCTCTGTGCAGGTTCAAAGAAGATAAAATTTAATGAGTTCCATTTGTTTCATGAAAAATTAAATTCAGTATAAACGGGACTGTGTTACAAAAGTATGTTTATAATCATTTATCTAAACTTCGTAACATGTTTTTGCTGTAGAAACAATGTCATACATGGAAGCAGGTTCACTAAAACATGTTTATTCCTCCAAACACCTGACATGTAACAGTTGATGTATGCTGTGTGATGAGATGGGTCTTAGAGATCCTTGTGAATCCACACCTGTAACACCTGTAATCAATCCCAACTGCCTCATGCAGTTCACAGCTTCTTTTCCTAAACTTTCCCAAAGTTATTCACGTTTAAAAGTACTTTCAATTCCAGAAGAGAGAAAATACTAATTTGTCCCCACACCCTTTCTTTAACCTTATAAGATGTTACCAAGACTTGGTAATCACACAGAAGCACTGGCAAACGCGTGTTTGAGGGAGTCCTGACCAGCACTAGGGAGGGGCAGCCCAGAAAACCTGAAATTCAAACATCCCAAGGCCACTTACTCAGACGGCTTTTCTATCTTACTTCATATGTTTTACATTTTGCTTATTTTGCTGTTTCTTGTGGAAATGTACACATTCCTTCTCCAGAAAAACAGAATCAGATTGATACTGAGGATACCACTAACTCGTGAACTCTCTAGATTTACATCAGAAAAGTCGCCTTGATAAAGCTGTTTAGGAAAAGCAATTCCAGCAAAGACAAATCTTCAGTTATTGTGAATATGAGAGTAACGAGAAACTGCTTTTTCTCTGCTCTTCCCTTTAACACTCACACATAAGTCACATAGACACACACATGCAGACTCACACAGACACACACACACACACGTGCACACATAAACACATATGCGCCCACCTGTCCCTCTGGCTTTCTGACTCCTCCACCTACCTCTGACCTTCCATATGGAGTCACGTAGTCCGGGAGTACCTATGTTATGTAGCGATCAAGGACTTTAGGACATTTTTCTAATGTTCTTCCTGAAGCTAGCAGTGAAAACCCGCCAGCTGATTTTATGCAGAAGGAAACCAAAGATTTATGGGCATGTGTCAACTCAAGTCAATTCAGAAAATGGCCAGTTAGAACCCGTCCATGTTCTCACCTAGTAAAATGGCTAGCGCCGCCTTTTTGGTTTTACTTGATTTTTCTGAGCTCTACAGAAGAATGAATAAAGTTTCTGTATTTCCCAAGAAAGACAAAATGGACCCGACTCACCTGAGACACTTCTTTAAACACAGAAGCAAGGCCTGTAATACAGTTGCTTAAGCTCACTCAACTTGAAGAGGCAGCTTGTTTGATGTTCTACCCTGGCTCAGTGAGCCCAGCAGTATTTCTTTTTCTCTCACTACACTCTTCTACCTAAACGCTGTAGACAGCTCCACCTGAGCAGTGTATAAGCTGCGAAGGACTGTGTCAATCTTAAAACACTTAAAGGCGATGGCGAATAGGCCACACCAAGGGGTGTCGCGTTCTCACCACTGGAGATGTTCAAACAATGCCTAAAAGATCACTGGGAAACAATAGTGTAAAGGAAATATCATACAGAATTATGACTTTTGACTTTTAAAAATGTTGATATTACGAAAAGCACATAAACCATGAATGTACAATTTAAAAATTAGAAAGCAGATACACTCATGTAACCCCTACCTAGATCGATAACAGAACTTTGGCAGCACTACAGATGTTCTGTTTGTTTGTTTGTTAATTCCACAAGTATGGAGTGGACACCTACCTTGTATCCAGATGGTTCGCTAGTGCGAAAGCTACAGAAATGAATTATGAGAGAAAAACTTTGCTTTCTTTGAATTTGCAGGCTATCATATAGCATGTATTGAATAATTACTATGTACATGGACTTTGCTGCACGTTTTACTTGAAATTTTTTTTTTTTTATTTTCTGAGCTATATATTGTTTTGAGCTTACCTTTGTTTTACAGGTGAGAAAACTGAGATAATTTACATCATCTTCAATCGCAGGATTCCTTTATTCTTCGCTTCAGTCCTTAACTCAAATAATCTCATAGACCAGAGAGGCAGGAGTTGTGGAAATGTTTATGATACAGCAGTTGAAGGTCTAATTTTTGCTTTCTTTCTCAGGCTTCTATAAAACCAAAATGTGGGCGCATGATCAGCTTCTCATCTGGAGGAGAGAACCCTCATGGGGTGAAGGCAGTCACCAAGGGAAAGAGGTGTGCTGTGGCTCTGTGGTTCACCTTGGACCCACTTTATAGAGAATTGGTGAGTTTCTCACCCACCCAGAAAGCCAATTAGGCTTGCTTCATCTGAAAAGTCCTTTAAATTGCTCCATCTGAGGAAGAGAAGAGGGTAAAGGTAGTTTCTTTTTTTTTTGAGACAGAGTCTCGCTCTGTCACCCAGGCTGGAGTGCAGTGGTGTAATCTCGGTTCACTGCAATCTCCGCCTCCCGGGTTCACGTCATTCTCCTGCCTTAGCCTCCCCAGTAGCTGGGACTACAGGTGCCCGCCACCATGCCTGGCTGATTTTTTTGTATTTTTAGTAGAGACGGGGTTTCATCGTGTTAGCCAGGGTGGTCTCGATCTCCTGACCTCATGATCCACCCACCTCGGCCTCCCAAAGTGCTGGATTACAGGCTTGAGCCACGGTGCCCGGCCAGTTCTTAATCAGATATGTTTTAATAAGTGAAGGTGTTTGTAGAAATAGCTATGTCAATGATATTTGATAGTCACTAATCTGTCTTCAGCTTATTAACAAATTGTAAGCCTGGGAGCCATGACTCACTCCTGTAATCCCAGAACTTTGGGAGGCCAAGGCAGGTGGATTACTTGAGGTCAGGAGTTCAAGACCAGCCTGATCAACATGCTGAAACCCCATCTCTACTAAAAATACAAAATTAGCTGGATGTGGTGGCAGGTGCCTGTAGTTCCAGTTACTCGGGAAGCTGAGGCAGGAGAATCACTTGAACCTGGGAGGCGTAAATTGCAGTGAGCCGAGATCACACCATTGCACTTCAGCCTGGGCAACAGGGCAAGACTGTCTCAAAACAAAAACAAAAACCCTGGGGCATCAGGGAGGAATCACCTTTTATTGGTCACCCAGAAGACTGATTTGTTTTCTCGCAAATCATAAGAAATAGTATTGAATCATTTATGAAATGTATTTGAAAGAGGGCAAGGAAACCTAAAAGATTATTATTACTTATCACTATTATTACATTAAATATTTAAATATTATTATTGCAAAGTAGCTGAGGACACTTAGCTAGGAGGAGACCATGATCTCATCGTTTTGGAAGCCCATGGGCAGATGTCATAGTCTTTACTTGTGGAGCTGCAGAGGCAAGAATTAAGACCAATGGATAGAAGCCCTGGAGGGAAAATTTGGGCTAAATCCAAGGAATAACTTTCAAATAGTCACCACAGTTTGGCAGAATTGTCTGCTTTGGAAGCACTGATTGGATGGCTCCAATCAAAGCCCCGACAACTGCTTGGCATGGAACGCTGAAATGGAATCTAAAACATCGTAGCAGAGGCTTAAATGGATGACCTCCAAATCTTCTCCAGCCCCAAGTATTGATGAAGCTATGAAATTCTATTCTTAAAACTGGCGTTCTATCCAGTTTTCCTTCTTAGTTTTCTGAATTGAATCCAATGTCATCAGAAACTATTTAAAAATGTCTTTTTCTCATATACTTTTCACCATGAAATCTAGCTCACAAAGTGTTTGCCCACATTCCCTAAGCCATTCTTTCATATATTTTACAAAAGACCTATTATGACCTTTGATTGTACAGAAGAGCTATTATTATCTGCCTGGGAAACTCTGCTAGGTAGGCTCTAGGGTAGACGGGTGAACAGAACAAGGTCCTGGACTACGAGGAGCTTGGACAGATCAGGTAGTAAATAGGCTGTAAGAAGACAGCAGTATACACTTTGTAGCAGAGAATCAAGGAAGACTTCTAAAAGCTCAGACCTAGAAGCGAAGAGGATAACCAGGCACAGAAAAAATGGCCCTGGCTGGGCGCGGCGGCTCACGCCTGTAATGCCAGCACTTTTGGAGGCCAAGGTGGGTGGATCACCTGAGGTCAGGAGTTGGAGACCAGCCTGGCCACATGGTGAAACCTCGTCTCTACGAAAAATACAAAAATTCGCCGGACTGGGTGGCGCACGCTTGTAATCCCAGCTACTTGGGAGGCTGAGGCAGGAGAATTGCTTGAACCCAGGAGGTGAAGGCTGCGGTTGCTGTGAACTGAGATCACTCCACTGCACTCCAGACTGGATGACAAGAGCGAGACTCCGTCTCAAAAAAGAAAAAAAAGGAAAAAGAAAGAAAGAATGGCCCTAACAAAAGGACCAGAGCACAGAGTCCTGAAAATCTCAAGGGGCAGCAAACAATCGCCTTCCCTTATAATTACTTTATATCCTGGTATTTTCCATCTCCAAAATGCCAGCATTCCATCAAAGCATCTTTTTTTTTTTTTTAAACTAAGGAACCTACGTAAATGGGTAGACAGTGAAGATAAAATTATTGAAAAATTACCTCACTATTTTAGTATTCAATTCAGCAGACATTTAATCTAGTTCATCATTCACTATCCAAACTCTCTCTTCCAAGGTATTGTTCTCTCAAAATAAGCTAACCCAAAGTAAGTTCTCTTTGCTCCTTTGTGATCAGGAAACATCAGTGCCAATGTCCCTTCCTCTGGTGGAAAAGTACTAGAAAACCTCTCCAGTCTTCAGGCCGTAGCGGCATCTAGTGGCCACAGTGGGAAATGAGCAGAACTTTTTCCGCAGCTAAATTATCCCAGGCTGTGAACGATTGTTTGCTACACGTGGAAAGCATCTATTGAGCTTTACGAACCAACATCTGTGTTTCAGGAGTTTTAAAAGCTCCCCAGGTGATTCGAACGTGCAGCAGCAGAGTTTGGGAGTTCCTGGCCTAGACGTCTTTTTTCAGATTGAATCTCTGAAGAAAAAAAACAAAACAAAAAAAATGCCTACCTATGAAGAAGTCATTAGAGCTGGCCGATTCTCATGCTTAGTATGAATTACTTTAAAGCGTCTCAGTTCTCAAGGAGTATTTAGCAACATCCTTTTAAGGATGCAGGGATGTTCGAAGCTTCATATATATTGGTTCCAGCTCTTGAATTTCTTTCCCTTAATGAGAGACAGGATTACAATAATTTTTTGTGGTCAACAGATGTGAAAGCTTTATGTGTGTGTGTCCATTTGTTAAGCATCAGGATTGTTTTCCTCGGCTGGGTGCGGTGGCTCACTCCTGTAATCCTAGCACTTGGGGGAGGCCGAGGCGGGCAGATCACCTGAGGTCAGGGGTTCGAAACCAGCCTGGCCAACATGGCGAAACCCCGTCTAAATGTTACTAAATGTTACCCATTGAAGACCTGTGGGCAGGAAAAGATATATAATCAGATTTAAGCCAGTAGGATTCATTAGAAGCATGTGAGGGTAAGTAGTGAAACAGGGAGAGCAATTTGGAGGCTGCGGCAGTAATTAAGAGATGATGAGGGCTTACAACAGTGGCTCTCAAGAGGGAGCGATTGGCCGGGCACAGTGGCTCACTCCTGTAATCCCAGCACTTTGGGAGGTCGAGGAGGGTGGATCACCTGAGGTCGGGAGTTTGAGACCAGCCTGACCAACATGGTGAAAACCCGTCTCTCCTAAAAATATAAAAAATCGGCCGGGCATGGTGGTGGGCGCCTGTAATCCCAGCTACTTGGGAGGCTGAGGCAGGATAATCGCTTGAACCCAGGAGGCAGAGGTTGCAGTGAGCCAAGATCGTGTCACTGCACTCCAGCCTGGGTAACAAGAGCAAAATTCCACCTCAAAGAAAGAAAGAAAAAAAAAAAAGGAGCAATTTTGCCCTCTAGTGGACATTTGGCAATATCTAGGGGTTGATGGGGAAGGTTATTATTGGCTACCTGTAGTAGGTAGAGAGGACAGGGATATCACTGAGCCTCCTGCAGTACGCAGGGCAGTACCACCCTCCCACCTCTCGACAAATAATTATCTGGTCTAAAAATGTCAATCAGGCCGAAACTGAGAAACCCTGACCTAAACTACGGCAACAATAGTGCATTGAGGAGAAAGGGGCAGAGACAGCAGATAGAACACAGTAGTAGAACTCGGCTCAGGTGACTTATCAGATGCAAGAAACCATGGTCAGGCTTTTAAGGCAAATAGGTGAGCAATGCTGGTCTTTACTGAGAGAGAGCCTATGTGAAGAACAGAGCAGGTTCTTGGGGGAGAAAATGGTAAATTCAGCTTGACCACTGAACTGAGTTGGAGATGGCTATGGGGCCATGAAGTAGAAAGGGTAGGAAGCAATTGAACATACAATAGTTCTTGCAGGAGAGAAATCTTAGAAAGTCATTGCTTAGGACCTAGGAATGTTAGGAGAAGGCATCCGTCTGGGGATGAAGAGGAGGTGTTCGATGCTTAACTGGATTTAGCATCAACCCATGTACAGATGGATGTCAGGAAGTGTTTGGGAAGCGTCTGCTGATGAGACTGATTATTATGCTTGTAACAGAAATGTGTAAATTGTCTTTTTTGCAGGAGCGAATACAGGCTGATGAAGTGATTGCAATCCTGGATCAAGAACAGCAAGGGAAGCATGAACTGAATATCAACCCTAAAGATGAGCTATAAAAATGAGAAAGAATGTTCTATCGAATATTTATTTAAATTGTTAATCTTATGAGAATCTTTTTATTTTTGTACAGAGCCATGGTATAAATTAACAGGTTAATGTCAGTCATCAGATCTCCCTTCTGTTCCTAAGGATGCTTGTGTTGCCTTGCTTAATCTATCTTTCTTGTTTTGGGTTCTCTCTCTCTCTCTCTCTCCCCCCTCTCTCTCCTCTCTCTCTTCTCAAAGACGTGGTCTATACCATGTTGTCTAGGACAGAGGGTAGTGGCGTGATCATAGCACACTGGAGCCTCAAACTCTCAGGCTCAAGTGATCCTTCAAGCCTCCCAAGGAGCTGGGACCACAGGCACGTGCCACCACGCCCAGCTCTCTTTCCTGGTTTTTCGTCATTTCATGTATCTATCAAAGCCCAGTTCACCTCCTTACACACACACACACACACACACACACACAATTAAATTGTTGCAAATCCAAAAGCTCAGAGAGAATAAGCTTGTTGGTGGTGAAACTACAACTCTCATGTGTGCGCCAGTTCTAAAATTAACATGTGCCTGGTCTCTGAAGCCCTTTCTTGGTCTGTGCTTTTCAGCCACATCCTCTTAGGTGCTAACGGCCATGAGCTCTGACTTTCCAAAGTGAGCTCCACTTTGGGTCTGAGAACCCCCTGGCAGAGTCCGCGCTGCCTCAGGTATCATGGGCGTAATGCTCAGCCAGGCTCCGGGAGATCTCATGGATGATTACTGTATGAGACAGAGGGGCCTCTAGGCTTTCCAGGGCCTTGGTGGAATTTTTGGCTCTGGTGTTTTCACCAGACAATAAACTTACACTGGAAGCTTCGATTCACCCTCCACAGTACTCCAAAAAGGACTGTCCTGTAAGTTGTACACTTTAAAAGGTCATGTAGATTTTGAAGTAGAATGACTTTTCACCCTGGTGACTTTGGAAGAAAATCTTGAATACTGCCTGCATCCGGGCACCATGGCCAGGTTGCCTACGAGTGGGGTCCACTGATGAAAAGAGGTTTTTTGTACTTACATAAGAAAAATAAATTTCTGATTGATTTTAACCGTCATCTGCTTATATTTTGGGGCCCCTCCTCATTGCTGCTATCCAGTACACAGATTTGTGCTTGTGCCTTATTTGTTTAATAAAGGGAGCCTCATTTTAATATCTAGCATTTATTTTTGTTCTCCCAAATGTTTGGTTTATCATCACAGAATGGTTCTGTATTTACATAGGAGCTTTTGGGACCACCTAGGGGCAATATTGGGACATGACTAGTGTAGCTGGTGCAGTGGCCTCAGGAAAGGTGGGGACCGTTCTTGAAGAACAGAGAGGACGACCAACCTGGGTATTGATCCAGAGCATGCTTGGTTCGGGTCGCACTTCTAAGGAAGACACTACAAAGTCATAGTTCATGGGGGCTTGGGTTCTTCTAACCTAGGGGAGCCTTTGTCGTTCGCCTCTGGGAGATCACCTGCCTTGGCGGTGCTGGAGGGAAGATTTACTTTCTGCCATTTACAATCTTGGTGAATGGTTAATAACATTCATCCATTGACATTGAAAATTTGAGTTAGTGATGTATGAGCCATCTGTTTTTTACTGAACCTTCTGGTTGTATTTTAATCATGGGGAAGTGGAAAGAGCATTGGATTATACTCCCAGCCCTATCAAATCTGCCCTGCTGCATGACATGGAGTTACTCTCTTTCCCTTTCCAGACGTTAGTTCCCTTCTCTGAAAATGACATAATTGATTGTAACTAGGCCCTCCCTCCTACTCAAAATACAAACAAAGCAAAAAGCAAAAAGAAAAAAGAAAAGAAACCAAAACCAATTTTAGAAATAGTCACAAGTACAACCAAATTTATTTCTGCTAACATTTAGAGAGTCGTGAATGGTTTTTTTTTTTTTTTTCCTTTTTTTTGAGACGGAGTCTCGCTGTCGCCCAGGCTGGAAAGCAAGCAGAGGCGCGATCTCGGCTCACTGCAGCCTCCACCACCTCCCAGGTTCAAGCGATTCTCCTGCCTCAGCCTCCTGAGTAGCTGGGATTACAGGTGCACGCCACCATGCTCAGCTAATTTTTGTATTTTTAGTAGAGATGGGGTTTCACTCTGTTGGCCAGGCTGGTATCGACCTCAGGTGATCCACTCGCCTCAGCCTCCCAAAGTGCTGGGATTACGGGTGTGAGCTACCGCGCCCGGCCGTGAATGGGTTTTTTATGTGTGAACCTGATTTTTAAAACCTTAAACCGAAATTTAGGCCTACAAGTTCTTGAGCTTTGCAAAGGTAGATTGCTCTTTGTCCCGCCACTGTGGAGAGCTTGTCGACACTCGGATTTGCTGATTGGAGGATCTGGGTGAGGATCTGATTTCTGTTTTCTGGCAGCAAGAGGCATCAACATAGAAGCGGTCTTGTTTGGCGTCTTAAAGATCCCCCTTCCTGGGTGCAGTGGGCATCAGGGGAGAGGCAGGGACTTCACTGATGCTTACATTCAGTCCCACAGAACGTGGGTGAAGGCCGAATAGATGTCGTTGTGTTGTAGCCACATCTTGTGCCGTTTGCTGACAACACAGGGTAGTTATTCTTGTTTTGCCGGTTAACCACGTTGCTTTACACCTGAAACATCATGTATATACTAAAGCATTTACTTCTTAATCTGCTCCACATCAAGCCACACATAATTTCATTCAAATATTTAGGGAGTGTCATCAGATGCCTTAAAAAAAATCAAGCTTAGAAATTGCAGTTCGTATTGGTACATAACCCCTTGTGTAGAAGGATAGAAAAGCCCATTAGGACTCCTGTTGCTTTTACAGCTGAAGGAAGGCATAGAAATCCCAATTCAATTTCATCTTTCTTTTTGGGTAGAAAGTGAGGCTTAGAGGTGGTAAAGATGATCCCATGGGTACAGAATTTGAGCAACAGAGCCAGAGCTAAAGCCAGGACTATTGAACTCGGTTATGCAAGAATGCCTGCAGGAGTGTACACGGGGGCTGGAACCCTGGCACAGGGCTTTGTCCAGCTGGTGGGAGGGATGTCTTATTCTCTTTGCCCAGAGATGGTGCTTCTTACCAATCTATGGAGCTGCAGGGCCATATCCTTTCAGAAAGGGTGTCTTTTCTAATCCTCACAAAATGCTGAATGTGCTTGAGTCAGCCTAGGCTAAATAGTCCAATGTGTATGAATAGTACATCTCATCTGCGTTATCTGAGGAATTACCATTGGTCTTGGTGATGATCCTTCCCTTGTGTGAAAAGCCTGAAGCTCACAAAGCTTTTATTTTCACCTATATTATTGTTCTGAATGCTTATAACACAGAGTGTGTTCACACACTGGGAACCCCAGGAGGTATTCTGGGCATGGATCGTGATGTCCATTTTGCAGATGAGGACATGGAGAGCAGTGGAGTGAGGTGATTACCTGGGGTCACTCGGCTCAGAGTGTCCAGGTCTGAGCTAGAAGCACAGTCTTTTGGGCTTCACCAGGGTTGTTGCTCCCCAGCCATGCTTCCAGGCATACTAAATATAAAATAATAAATGTGAATAAAAAGTCTGATTTTACAAAATCAAGAAAACGTTTTCTCCTCTTTTATTTTCCTGCTGAGGGACGCGTGTTGGCATACTTCCTCTTCTCTCCTCTGTGATATATTCAATCCAAGTTGGATTATTCAATTCAATTCAGCCCTATTTTAAAAGACATACCCTGAGCCTTGAGCTGCTTTTATGAGCTCACAAAAGGGAAGAAGATTCTAGTCCGGTATCATTTTTCTCTCTCTCAAAGGCAAAAGTCATCTTGAACTTAAATTGCTTCTTTAGAAAAACCTGACACAGGGCAGAGCGATACTGTGCATGTGTGAAGGCCTTTCTTCACAGCCCGGAGTGTACATTGTTTGACAAGGAAATCTCAGTTTTAATGCACTCTTAAGACTTTTAATGCACTCTTCATCATCAACATCATAACATTTTTGGCACTTCCTCAGCTGAGGAGAAGCCATGGAATGAGTCAGTGCTATTTAATAATATATACCTGTGAATTTTAATTGAAGTACAAATGCTGAATTATTTCACATAAGAGAGGCAGCCACAGGGAATGACTCCTCACTGACGTCAAGAAAGGAGGTAATGGGGGCCACCTCACCCATTCTTTATGCCAAAGCATTAAACATTCCGAGCTGACTGACAGTGGTATGGCTGAGAAGTGGGAAAATGTTGACCTGTTCCCACATCCAGAGCTCTTTAGGGAAACAGGAGCCACTGGCAAAAGCTCCAGACCACAAGTCCGTGTTCCAAACCCTCTCTGCCTCCTGCCAAGAGACCTGTGATGTGAAATGACGTCTCACATAGTTCCAATTGCCCACCCACAAATCCTCTACTCCCAGATAATTTGATGTTTCCAACAGCAGACATATAGGCGGTTTTTTTTTTTTTTCCTGAACCTGGTTGATTTCTTCAAACACATCAAAACGATTACTGGTTGAGCTCAACCACTCGTTGAGTTCACTGCTGGGTTGGAGCTACACACTCATTCTGTCAGAGCTTCCCCTTTACCTCCTCCTCCTTATAATTCACAGAGTTTTCCATGCCCACTGCTGACCTCTGAGGCCGGGCACAGCCAAGTTGGGAACAATCTGACTATTGATTCTGTTTCACGCTACAATGAATGGCATCAGCTGTGAAAAGTTGGGTTAATGAGTCACCTCTGGCTTCAAAAATCTTGTTAAGGCCCTGCAATAAAAATAACTAAACAAGATGTTCCTATCATTTTTTTTTTTCCTGACACATTGCTGGGGAGGAAAATCTAAATGAATGCTTCATTTAGTCAACATATGATACATGTTTTCTAGTCATTTTATATGGTACATTTAGGAGAAGGGAGAACAAAAGGTGAAGAAGACATGCTCTACCCTCTTTATTTTTTTGGTAGAATGGCCACAGAGGAGAGCCAGGGTAGCCTAGAGTTCGACAGTCTTTCTACCTTAACCGTCTCTCTTCTAATTATCTGATATCTTCTGCTTTTGAAGGGCAAATCAATTTTGATTAGATAAGGCCAAGTGCCTTCTTGATTTGAGCCTCATTTCAACAGTGAATTGGGTGTTACCTGTATATATGGGAGTCTTGCCCTGGGCCTCTCTCATCAGACTTAGGTGCCTTTCTGCATGATGGCAGCGTGATGACATCGGTCCTAATAATCTTATCCAGACCCGAGGTAAACCCTCCTCTCTTATTCCAAGTTTATGTGTTTACCTCTGAGTTACTACCTGGTGGTGGGTGGAGGTAGAAATAGGGAATGGACAGTAAGTATTACCAGGTGTGTCTCATCTCTTTCCACTTGTTAATCGTATATTCCATTGTTTCAAAGGTTGTCATCGTGGTTGACTTTATAAAGCTTTTTTATGGTCTTGAAGCATGTAGCAATCATATGTAACTACCTAATTATCTTGAGAGACACATCAATGCCATCTTCATTGTGTAAATGGGAAAAAACAAACAGGCACAGAGAAGGTGATGTCGTAAAGCCCTGGTCATGTATGAATTCATTTTGCAGAGAGTTTTTGAGTGGCCATGCGGTTGGAGGCATAGGGAGGCATTTAAAGATGAATAAAATTTTATCTCTTCTTTTAAGGACCTCAAAGTAGAAAAAAAAATAGATGTAAACAAATGATCAACTTCAAGTAAGGTGAATGTTATAGCAGAGGATTGTTTAGGGGTAGGAGGAAAGGTCATGCAAGTGGGAAAGGAGCGGTTGGTGGTAGGGAAAAGTTGGGGAGAAGGTGACAGGTAAGCTGGATCTGGCATGCCTCATCTGCCACCAATAAGTGGGAACGAGCCACTTGACCTCTCATTGCATCACAGTGTCCTCGGCTGAAAAGTGTTGCATTTGAATTGAATGATTTCTTGGGTTCTAAAGGATTGAGCCTTCAGAGAAAATGAGAGTTCAGAAAGTTGGTGTTTTGGGGTGGAGTGGAATGAGATAGCCTTGGGAAAGCAGTTTAATGAATGCTGTGAAAATCTTAATAAGTACCAGTTAAAGAGTAAGTTTTATTGTATTCCCTTGCAAGGGAGGTATTATTCAAGTGGGTAGTGCGAAGCCCTGAAGGACTGAGCCTCCTTCTGAAAAGCAGAGTAGCAGCTACTATCAGAACTAGACGAAGTGAATTCATCTGAATT